TGATGATTTAAGTAATCTTTATACAAATTGCTCAAACAATCACAGGGGTAAGTAAATCCTTTTCTGAAAACCCAGTCTCTAAACTTCTTTGTACAAAAATATCAAATCTCCTGCATCTATCTATCTGAAATTTGGCAGGCAATGCTTACTCTGAAGTGGCAACTATGCCTGTAAATATAATCCAGCTCTGTTAAACAATAAACATCAAATAAATCCCTCTTTTAATACATTTTAGAAGCCATTTCCATGAAGATAATTGAGAGTATGTTATATAATTTATATACTTAGAAACATATAGCATGCTTTATACCAGCAACAATATCCCAGCAACAATAATATCCACATAATTATAATTTGCATTATAACAAACCATATACTGAAATTGTTTGGAGCCATCATAACAAGATTTTTGTATTTGCATGATGCTCTAAGAATGAATGATCACATGACTCTAGGAATGTCATTGCATTAAATATGGGTTAATGGCACACCAGACAATATGGTAAATCTGTTTGCAGTATTCCAGGCACCTGTTTATAAATAGACACCAAGGTGCTCTAATTGATCCTAGGAGCACTGGTTGTGTTGGTATGACAAGTGGAAACTGATTCTCACTTTACTCTGTTTATGTCTCTCTTTTACCACTTATGTACTCCCATAGGATGAAATTGAACTAAAAGCAGCAGAGAGGCTACAAGAGGTAGGACTGTTTTACCGTTCATCTTGTAAGTATATTATTTTCCCATTTTCCAAGTCATGACCAGACCAAGTTAAATAAACTAACCAAAATCAAGCCATGGTCACAGATTGTGGTTAAAATGGAGCATCTTTATCAAAATATGACCAACAGTTTCAGTTTGGACAATACACCAAATTAAATCAAGTATGACTTACCATATCATGTAATAAAAACAGATCAGTTTCTATCCTGCACAGGATAATTCATTGTGATAATAATTGGAAGACGTTGGGTTCTGCATTCTGAAGAAATTGAATTGGTTCCATTTTGTTTGTCTAATTCTTTTACATTTTTGTTCTGCACATTTTCTACTGAACTTAAAGTCCTTATCCAAATGCCAAAAAATGTTGTGAGATTATTATTAAAAAATTATAAATAGATAAGGTTTGGCTACACTCTTTCAAAAGTATCTAATAATTGATTTCTTGGCTACTGAATGTAGTTAGTATGACTTTTTCAATTTCCTGTACACAAAAATAAATGTTCCCAAGCATTCAAAGGAGTTTGTTTGAAATGGTGTCTGCTAGCCATTATTCAGAACAAATCATGGACTGTAAGGATGAGTCTGAAAATAAAGGTTCCCAAATTAATTTGCTTGATGTTAGGAACATGTCATCAGAATATAGTAGAAACTCTTGTTCCTTTCATTGTTTTTTTTTCATGGACATCATATTGCTTTCAATATGTGATTCACTTCCATTCTGAATAAGAAGCATCTAGCAGGTATCTTTTGTCTTACCCTGTTGTTTATACTATGAAAAAAAAGAGTAAAAGAGCACTAGCTCAGCCTTAGTTCATCCAGGATGTCATAGAGGATGTACAGAAACTGAAGATTTTTTTTTTTTTTAAAAGGCCATCTTATGCAGTGCTAATAACATGCTAATAATGACTTGATCGGTGCTATAGTAGAAATAGTCCCAAACATGTTAAAAGGAAACCCTCTTCTGAAATATTTGCAATTGTAGACTTCAAGGAGAAAGAAAGGGTTCATTTAAAAAACTGAATTATAGAAAGGACTCATTCAAAAAGAAGCAGCAGATCGTTCATCAGGAAGGTTTACTGGATTGTTACTAGGGGCTAATATTCTGCTGTTGATTAGGCTACTAGCTGGACATACATGAGCTGTACCCAGAAAATGTTATCTGGTGTTGCATCATCAGATGGTGCAACTGCAGGGTAGAGCGTCTACTATAGGAACTAAAGCCACTGACCAATTGGATGATGAAATGTGTGCCATTCTTCACAGAGGTTTGTGTGAGGACAAGATTAGGCTCTACAATTTGGTGCTGCAGAAATTTCTAAGGCTAATCTGACAAAACAAAGTTGAAAAGAATAGGCTGAATCTCATTTATCTGCCAGAAGATCCTTGACCACAGCCTTCTCCACAGACAAAATAATGCATGATGTTCTAGGGTAGAACAATAAACCAACTACAGTGTTGGAACTTCTTGTCCAATTCCCTGCTCAAGCTGGAGAGCCTATACTTGTGATGGTTAACCTTTTTGGTGCCGAGTGCCCAAAGCATGCACGCACACGCATGAATGCACGTGCGGGTGCCACAATCCCCAAAATGCAATGTGAGTGCCCCCCGCGCATGCGCCCTGGGCCCCCGTTTTGGCTTCCAGGTTGGTGCAGGAGGCTTTTCAAGCCCAAAATAGGGTGTGGGGGGGGGAGGTAGCTAGGATTCGATGAGGGGAGAAACTTTGGAGATCGTGGAAGGCAGGAGGCAGCTAGGACTCGATGAGGGCGAAACTGTAGAGATCGCGTCCTAGCTTTCTCCTGCCTTCCTTCCTTCTCCAATCTTTGCAGTTTCTCCCCCATCAAATCCTAGCTTCCTCCTGCCTTCTCTGATCTCCAAAGTTTCTCCCCCATTGAATCCTAGCTGCCTCCTGCCTTCCACAATCTCCAAAGTTTCTCCCCCCCACTGAGTGCCTCCTGCCTTTTGTGCCTCCTCCGATCTTTGCAGTTTCTCCCCCATCAAATCCTAGCTGCCTCCTGCCTTCCACGGTCTCCAAAGTTTCTCCCCCCACTGAGTGCCTCCTGCCTTCCGTGCCTCCTCCAATCTTTGTAGTTTCTCCCCCACATTGTGTCCTAGCTTTCTCCTGCTTTCCTGCCACGGAGAGGCATCTGCAGAGGGTGGAACCTGCAGAGATCGCGGAAGGCCCTGCCCCTGTGGATGTGCAGCAGAGACCCGAAGACCAGCTGGCTGATGGGAGGTGCGCACATGTGCGGTGGAGCTGGGCTCGGGCGACGGCTTGCGTGCCCGCAGAAAGGGCTCTGCGTGCCACCTGTGGCACGCGTGCCATAGGTTCGCCATCACAGGCCTATACTATTTCAAATAGTTGTCCAGTTAGCTCATGAAAGCCTCTAATAATGGAGCACCAACAACTTCTGAAGGCAAGCTATTGCTCTAACCATTAGGAATTTTCTCCTTGGTACTAGGTTACTTCTCTCCTTGGTTAGTTTCCATCCATTGTTTCTTGTCTTCCCTTATTGGTGTTTTGGAAAATAATGTGATCCCCTCATCTTTGTGGGAGCACAGTAATGCATTACAGGAATAATGCTGAACTTTCATTAATGAAAATGAAATAGCATCAGGACATTTTAGCATGGGATGTCTGTAGCACCTTTTTATACAAAGGTGTAACTATTCCTAATGCTATCATTTTAAACTTGGCGAAAGGGGCCTTGCAACACTGAGCACATGCTGATAAACAGAAACCTCAAGGTTGGGATTAATTTATGAATGCTATGGCAGAGATGAATGCTGGATTCTACCTCTGTTACAGAACAACTAGAAAGCTGAAAGAGTCTGTGGCTCTTAAGGATATAAGTGCTACTAGTCCCAATTCTGTTATGCCTGTGCTTATTGGGACTCAGATCAAACTCAGACCATTTACTGGTACCAAACTCAGACTGTTTACTGGATTCTAAATCCTAGAAATAGGCTAAGATTTGGTGATTGGCTCAACTTGTAAGACGATTAGAAACATTGTGAAACAAGCAAACAGTTTTGAGTTTTTGTCTTTATTTTATACCAAGGCAGGCATGCTTGCATACATTGATAATGGGTACATGCTCCAAGCCCCCCTCCCAACTTTATACCTTTTACAAACTGCTTTACCATTTGATCCTACTTTCTACTTATGAGTCTGTATAAAAATATACACTTATACTACTGAGATATATAATACTGAAAAGATCTTTCAAACTTGTAAAACTCCTAAATTCATGCAAAACACATTTTATCACAACAGTTAAAAACAGAAAGCTTTGGGGCCACTTTGCCTGGGAATCAGTGTGCTGTACCATCTTCCACCCGATATATTTCATTCTTAGAGAGAAATAAGAAATACCCTTTTGGTTCTATTCAATTGAGGAAGACACACAACTTCTCAGGTCACAAATGAACAATGTATTTTTTCCCCCTGGACTTTTATGTCCCACATGGACTTCTAAGGACTTATGCATTTAGCTCACTATAAAAGTTACAAACGGTAGAGGAGTATGAAGTTGATACATTTCAGTAGGGCTATAAACAAAAAATCTAAAATAAGGAAATGTTCATTTTCTTATTTATAAGACAATAAACCAGCTCATGTGTAATGATTTTCAATTGGACCAAAGCTGAAATAAGCATTCCTGTTTAAATAGATTACCCCAATGCCAGACTGGCTTTTGGCCATGTGTCTAGCCATTAAATCTATGGCCTAGTCTAGCCTGCTTTCAGGTTTTGACAGGAGTAGATTGACAGAACCTGGATCCTCTTAAAGAATGCGTCTGCTTCTATGCCCCTTGGAAACAGAGAGTGGGTTATTGGATTGGTTCAGGGTACTAGGAAAATGCTTTTATTTGAAATATAGTGATGTGGATTGTTTTTACTTGTCACAAAACTGTCAATGCATAAATAACTGAAAACCTTAATCAATAGCAGTAACAGTATATTTAAATGGAAGGACACAGTATAGTGGACCAGTGAGCATTCTTAGGGTTTTGGGAGTGCCACTATATTGTGCCATTATGGACCCCGACAGTTGCATAGGAATACACTTCACCCAAAGCAAATGGATGAGATTGGTACCCACCATTCTGTGCAACTGATCTAATTTCTAATTTTTAGGAAGCAAACAAATTTAAAACAAAGGCCTGGGTTGTATCTAATCTCCCCTGGTTTAAAATATAGGATCTTTTGTATGTTCCCCTTCAGAACATTATTTCCTTATTTAAAAAAAACAAAACAAAAACCACATGAGGCTGGCACTTTGCAGCATACCTGCTTCCTATTATTTTATTCCTAATTAGAAGAATCTAAAAATAATAAATCAGAGGCAGCAGAGAGCCTCGTGGCGCCAAGGGTGGTGTCTGTGGCACATTGCCTACCCCCACGGTGGCAAAGGTGCTTAAAACGCAAAGCATTTTTGTCAGTGAGCCCTGTGCCATATGTGCTGGGCGACAGCCACCTTGGGCCTGCCAAGGGTTAGACAGGTGCAGGCTTTCCAGGAACAAATGCAGCGACGGCCCCAATCACCATCTTCCTGTCTGGCAGCTTCCCAAGATTCAAAACTCCTGCCAGCAGAAGGTAGCCATCACCACAAGCCTTTTGTTCCTCAAGTTCTTACCAACGGCGAAATACCTAGTTCGAGCCCCTACCGGTGACCCAGGGAGGCTCTCCAGGGAGGCAGTCAGTCACCTTACTAGCCCTGGGGATGTTACCTAGTTTGGGTAATGAAAGAAGACAAGCAAGCTCAGGGAGCATCAAGAAGCCCCCCACCCAGCCCGCAGTTTCCTTAAACTGGGCTCCTCGGAACTGGCGTTCGCGGGGGTTGACTTGACCCTATTGAAAGGAACGGGATTCAGAAATAAAACTTCGAGTAAACGCGTCTGTGAGAGAAACTTGGCCAGTTTAAGGACTGCCCCCCCCCCCTTAAAGAGGGAAGCGGTTCGTGGGCACCTTCGCTCCCCCCACCCACTGCTCCTCCTTTCTAGGGGAGGCGACTTGTTGAATTTAAAACCTGAAGGGCGAACTTCACACCTGGCGCTCTTTCCTCAAGCAGGCGCGCCGGCACAGGCGGGGGACAGCGGCGTCTGGGGGCGCGCGGGTGTCCCACGCCGGGAAAGAGGCGGAGCGCCTCGTTGGCTTCCGTTCCGCTCCTCCTCGGCTTGGAACTGCAGCGGGAGGCTCCCATTCTCTCTTTCCCAGAGCGCCAGCACCGAGGAGGAGGAGGAGGAGGAGGAGGAGGAGGTGGCTCCGGGGAGCGCCCGCCTCCTTCGCTGCCGAGCGCGGTGCACACGGGGCATGGAGCCTGCCTGAGCCAGTCCGCGGGCAGCTGCTGCTGCAGCACAACATGGAGGCGGCAGCGCCGCCGCCGCCGCCGCTGCTTTTGGTCCTGTTCCTGCTCGCCGCCTCGCTACTTCGGTGCAACTTGGGGTCTGTCGCGGGTACGTTTGCGGGGCCGCTTCTCGCCCACCCCCCCACTCTCCCTTCCCACCCCCTTGCCGGCTGCTCCGATCCCGCGCTTCGGGAAGAGGGACCCCTTTTGTTGTGGAGATGGAAAAGTTCTTTGCAACTCGGGAATGGGAGCGGAGGAGGCGTGCGTGCGTGGGGGCCCGCGAGGGCGAGCCGAGTGGGCGGCGGGGAAGTGCTGTGGCTGGGAGCGTGCGTGGCGGCGGGAAGAGGGGCGCAAGGCTGCGGGTGGGGTGGCTGTAGCCCTGGCGAGTAAAGCTTCGGCCGCCTCCTCCAGGGGAGACGGTGCAAAGGGAAGGACGGCCGTACTGCATGTCAGGCTAGGAGAGAGGGAGACCGACCGACCCGTTCCCGATCGGGCAAGGGGGGAAAAAGGCAGGAAGCGCCTTGGTTACGTCTCCTCCGAAGCGCAAATTCTGAAGTAAAAGCCGAGGGCGTTTCCGTGCCTCGGTCAACGTAGCATTTCGGGGCGCCTGCCTTCCCCCCCCCCCCCCCAGGAAAGGATTCCCTCGGCCTTTTTGCGTGACGGGGCTCTCGAGCTCAGCCTGTGCCTCGAGAGCGAGACAAAAGTTTTACTTTTCCTAGCGCTTTGCGGCCCTCGGCCGCGGAGATTTCCCAGGAGTTCGGAGGAGCGGGTGTCGGGTGTCGATCCCGGGCTGAATCAAAACTTTTTGGCATCGGCTTTGGCGGAGGGGGTTGGGAAAAGAGCAGATCTAATTTCCTTTTAGTTTAATAGTTGTAACCGGGGGGGTGGGGGGGTGAGAGAGAAGAGAAGCGGGAGGAGGGAAGAGAGACTTGCCTGACTTGTGAAACGTAACACTTGGCAAAACAGACTTCTGGGAAGAGAGTTGGTCTGTCTGGGGGTTTACCCAGACAAAACTACAGTGAACATTTGTTCCCTTCTTTGACTAGAGGGAGTGATCAGACAATCACGTACATTTCCATATGCAGTTCGTAGTCATTTTATTCAAATTTTAAGAAGGAGTTTCTGGCTTGATTTTGCTGAAATGTGCTTGGCTAGGATGTGGCCCGATCTGTTAGATCATTAATCTTGGATATATAAATAAAGAGTCCGTCTCCCTCCTTAATACGCTACTCTGTGTGTGTTCTTCTTGTGAACATTTGCACTGATGCAAGAGGTACAGGAAGATTTGAGGAAGGAAGCCAGAAGGGTCTGTTGTTTCCTTTTGGGGTCTTCTACATCAATAAGGATATAGGGTGCTTTTCTTCCTTATTTTGTGGCTGGTATTCCACGTGCTGAGGAATCATACATTTTGTTTTGTATTCCATTTGGTTTATAAAGTCTCTTGTGTTCTTGCAGCAATCCCCAGCACTGCCACAAAAAGAGTGTTATATTATAATTTGTCACATAGTCAGCCAGATGTTTAGACTGGATTTGGCGTTTTTATCCACCTTTCGAGATGTACCCAAGGACCTGGAATAGGGAGATGTTGTTCCACTGTCTTAAAAGTTTTTATTACCTGTTCACAACAATTTGAAGTCACAGCTGCCAGCTCCTTATCTAATGTTGGCCTTTATAACCATCAAATACTTCTCAAGAACCTAGGATGTTGTGATGCATCAACAGATCAGACAGTGTGACCTTTTGCAATTCATGGGTGGAATTTTTTTTAATGTGCAGATATTCTAAGAACTATCCAAGATTTTTTGGTATGGCACCCTGTGTGCCAATAACCATTAGGACCATGACAGCTGCTTTATGCCATGATTTTTCAATTTTGATTTTTAGATCTTGATGCTTTGTTATATTCTCCAATTCTTTGTCTTCTATTCTGCTATCTCCTCTTATTGCCACATCACATTTTCTTTTCAACCACAGTTAAATCTGGTGTGGTTATGACCCAAGACTTTATCAGTTTGTATTCAGAAATCCCACAATATTTTATCGTGCTTGTTCTTGAGCACTGATGTTTTATTACTAGTACATGACATTTTTTACAGATGTTCTTCTAGTGAATAATTAGGGTGACTGTGTTACATTGTTTATATTCAGTTTGTGCAATCTTCTTGCATGAGCTTGAGTATATGATCTACTGTTTTTCTTTGCACAAATCTGCCCTTTAAATAATTTGGGTCCCCCCACCCCTTCTGGCCTTGATTGCATTAGTTCAAATAGCTTGCTCTCAAGCAACCAAAATCAAGCCTTCAGTTTTATTTTTTTTAAATGTTTCAGTTGTAAGCCATTGCCAGCTTTTATCTTTATCCTCTTTCCCCTTGCTCTTTTATAGAAATATATTGTGTCTGTGTCTGTGTGTAAATTGCCCAACTCTAGTAGATTCTGACAATTATACAGTAATTCAGAGGCTGCTACAAAAAGGGAGTTAACTGTCTTTTTTGCTTCCCACTTCCCGGGAACCCTGACAGTACTATTAATTGCAGGAAAAATATTTTTATACATAAGAACCTCTCAAATAGCCTAGTGTTTGTCTTCAGTTTAGCAGTCCTCAGCAAACTGAAGTTTTGACACACTAATGAATGTTAATTGTTGTAATTTTTCAATTAGTTGGAGAAATATACTTGTGGCTAATAATGCATTCTCTTAAAAGTAGCTATTACTGGGATTCCCCCCTTTGTTGAAATCATTTTTACTTTCCAGAATTGCTATTTAATAGGGGAGCTCTAACCAGTTTTCCCAAAGGCCATTGTGTTTTGTTTGGAGATTTGACTTGTTTTAAGATATACAATAACATCTGTGTGCAGCTTTATTTGTAAATAAAAGAAATCCTTCACACACCTGATTGTTAGGGGAAAAAGGCTCAATATTCCAGTAGAGTTTTAAGTTAATTGATCCACCAGTTTGTTTCAGTGTTAAAAAGTGATTATTGTGGTTTTTAAAATGTTCCTTAGACCTGGATGGGGAATTCTGGGAGTTGAAGTCCACCAGGCTTAAAGTTGCCAAGGTTGGAGACACTCTGCCTTAGCGAGAATCATAGAGTTAGGCCAATGAGTCCATCTCCTTAGTCAGTACAGAAATCCAAATGAAAATATCCCAAAGGGATAGTTGCTTAGCCTCTGATTGAATGTGTTCAATGAAGAACAGCTCACCACCTCTCTGGGAGACCAGTTTAGCTGTCAGATCAGTTTTACTGCCAAGAAGCTTTTTTTTTTTTTAACATTCAGCCAGAACCTGCTTTTCTTAAAACTTAAACTTAACAATTATTTAAATCTTAAAAGTTTTGAGGTTAGTGTTATTTAACCTAAAGGATTATTTCTCACCTTTACAGTGTCACACATACATAAAAATAACCCCAAACGGCATTGTTCTCTGACACCTAATTTAAATGTTTTATTTATTAAAAGTGGACTTGGGAAAAATACAGGAAGGTAAAAAAAAATATGTTATAAAAACAAAGTAACTGCTTTGTATTGCTACATGGGGTAAAGTCATTTTGGTTTGCATCATTGTATCCAGTATAGGGTGTACAGTTTCTAAATTTGGTAGCAAGTCAGTTAATGTATATTTTGAGCAATAAAAGAAAGAATTTCCTTGACATAAAAATGCTTGTCTATAAAATATACACTAAATGCAGCCAAGTGGAGAAATTCATCTTGGCTTTTAACTAAGAAAATTTTAGTCCCAACTATTTGTTTTAGTTAAAACAATATATAGTTAGTATATATTTTTTCTTTCTTTCTGGAGTGTTTGGCATAAGAACTCCACAATCCTAAAAACTCATTTCCGTCTTTAGTTACACTACTTAGTGTTTTCTTTGGAAATTGTGCAGCATATCAATGTAACAAATTACTATTTTTCCCAATGATTTGCTTAGTTTGTGCTTCTTTTATCAAAGTCTGGTCAAACATTTATTTATATGCAACAAGTTACAATGTTTACTTTTTTAGGTGGAGAGTAAGAAAAATGGATTCTGTTTTTCCAGAATATTTGTATATCTTCTACTGACCATAACTACAGGTAGTCCTTGATTTACAACAGTTCATTTAGTGACCATTCAAAATTACAAGAGCACTGAAAAGGTGACTTATGACTGTTTTTCACATGGTCACAAGATCAAAATTCAGGCACTCTGCAACTGTCTCATACTTAAGACAGTTACAGTGTCCCGGGGTCATGCGATCACCTTTTGTGACCTTCTGACAAGCAAAGTAAACGAGGAAGCCTGATTCACTTAACAACTGTGGCAAGAAAGGCTGTTAAATGGGACAATTCACTTAACTGTCTCGCTTAACAACAGAAATGTTGGGCTCAATTGTGGTCATAAGTCTAGGACTACATGTATTAGCAGTATCTACTTACAGAAAAATGTTTGGTAAACATCTACATTTCTCTCAAGGTAAACCTATTCCAGTGATTAAACTTTCATACAGGATTTTTAACAATTGTTGTAATTGGTAATATCTAATAGTTTTCTATTTTATAGAGTAATTTAAATCAAGGCTCTAATATTTTTTTAAATAGCCAGGAAAACATCTCAATTATAGAAGTTTGAATCTGGTTTTCTTTATATTGTACATTTAACACACACACACACACACACACACACGATTGATACTTAATGGTTTTAGATAGAACCTTGATACTTGGGAAGACAATCAGCAGGATTTGAAACTGCGTTTCTTTCAGAAATGATTTTTCACTGACTGTCCTTCCTCTTGTGGTCTTCCATAGTTTTCTGATGGAGTCTCACCATCTAGATCAGGGGTGTCAAACTCACAGCATCACGACAGCGTCACATGACGTACAGGGACTCCCCTCCCCCCCGGTCCGCTAAACTGGGTGTGGCCAATGTGTGACGCATCCGGCCCATGGGCCGTGAGTTTGACAGGCCTGGTCTAGATAGATAGAGATTTGGAACTTCAGGAGAAGGAGATATGAGAAAAATCTGGGGCTCCACTGTTTGGAACCTCTGCTGGATATATCAGTAAAATGATGCATATTGGTATAAAGTTGATAATAATGTGTGCTATTTCAGGACTCAACTGCCATATGACTGCT